GACACGGGGAATCAGGGGTGGAAAGGAGGAGTGTGCTGTCATAGTATGGGGAGAGCAATTAGAGTCACATAACAATGTATGTATAAATTTTTGTAGGGGAAAATATAAAAAAATATATTCTCATTCTGAGAAAACATCAATCTGAAGTCCTCACTGGCGAGTCTGACGGCGCAGAAGCTACAGTTGGTAGCTCAGTGTGAGGTTGGGCTGGAGTTACGCTAAAGCCGCGCTTCACATTCTTTCTGAGATAGTGCCTATGTTTTGTTTACAACAAACATTTTACATGTATTCCTGAAATATTTTTAATGGATTAACTAAATTAACCTAAGTTTTATTTGAATACCTCATCAACAATGAACATGATTCAATCAACATTATTTAAGCAAAGGAATAATGCTGCTGTGTGTCTAAGTGAATACTTCAAACCGCAGCCCACGCCAGTGTGAAGTATGACAAGAGGGTTTGTTATTGTGAAGAAATTTACAAGAGAAACTCCACTGACATCCTTCAGTTGCTATCGGCTTCAGTTAACAACAACAATGAACATTCCCGAATCCCAACACAGTGTGCCCGGCACCAAGGTAAATGTTTCCCATACACTACCTCATTCAATCCTCATTAAAAACAACAAAACCCACTATGACATATGTATTACTCTCTCTCCCATTTATCAATGATGGACCTGAGGCTGGGAGAAGTTAAGTAACTTATCCGAAGCCACTCAACTAGTAAAAGTTAGAGAACTGGCCGTAAACCCAGATCTGACTCCAAGGCACACTCTTCAGCACTACCCGGCACTGCAGAGAGCCGACTTTCTCAGATCTGGAAGAGTCCAACGTCTCTGGAAAAGGGACCAACTAGGTTTAAACCGCACTCTGGGTGACAGCAAAACCCAGAAGAATTTGATAGGACACTTGCAAGAACACAGGAAAGTAGATTTCTTTATGCTTTTCCGTGTGTGTGTGTGTGTGTGTGTGTGTGTGTGTGAGAGAGAGAGAGAGACCCTTGTGTGTGTGTGTGTGTGTGTGTGTGTGTGTGTGTGTGTGTGTGTGTGTGTGAGAGAGAGAGAGAGAGACCTCTTTATGTACTAACTTGTCATTTTGCCCAGGGCAGAAAGACTTCTCTTCTGGAAGCCATGATTAAGACACAATCCCTTATTTTCTCTGCCCATCCTGGAGTCCTTTCGCACCCCCTAAGTGTGTTTGTAGACCTGAATGAGGCGTATGTATGGGAGGAAGGAGGAGAGAGTGAGAAGCAGGGGTTAAGTTCTCTACCACGTTGGCAAGGAGTAGGAGACTGAGGGAAAACATGTAATATTGTTTACTAACTACAATTCAGGTTGCAAAAGTCTAACGTGTTTGCCCTGCTCTTTTACCAGAAGTCTGCTTTAATTATACAACTTCCACAAAAGTTACATAATAAAAAGCACTATAATTCTACTAAATTAAGTCACTCAGAATGTGGACTATGTATCTGATCACAATTCCTTACATGAATTACGCTCACAGCACATACCTGGTCGATATTGAGGCGAAGGGGCAGCAGGGACACTCTCAAGCAGCATTCCTGCGGCGACCTACCAGACTCGGGGCGCACGTGCAGTGTTTTAATTGTCAGCTACAAGACAAGAAACAGAGAAACATCTTCCCCAATGGAATCATTACCTTGTCCTCATTGAAACAAAAAGAAAGAAAAAATCCTATTCCTGTATTAGAACAAAAATTGGAACTGTTTACTCTTTGCTTAAAGTCCTGAATGCAGCTTTTGAGGGTCACACGGTCCTTCACTAACCTGATTCTGAGGAGAACACGCAGGCGGATGGTGCCGTACCTGCAGGCTCCAGGACTGTCTCCACCCCTGAAGCTCATCCACAGGCTCATACTCTGAAGAACTGCCAAAGTCCTGAGCTAATCATCTCAAACCTACTAAAATTTTAAAGTGTGGAAATCTGGAACACTTTCAGCAATACTACATATTTTGCGGAGGTCACTATAGATTTCCATTTCTCCTCAGGTGTTAATACACTGGCAATTATAGCTATTGGATCCTAGAAGTGACATGCAAAATAATTTTGAAAACATAAAACTTGAAGCAGCATATTTAAAAGGGATTTTCATCTTAAAATGAGAAAAACCATTAATTTCCTCCCACTCTGACAGTTCTCCAGCAGTTCGATGTAATAAAAATACTTTTCCAAAACTAACCCAGCAACAAACAGAATGAGGTTTTAAATCTCACCATGTTGGAATGAGCTTTTCGAGGCATTTCTTTACTGCAGTACAGATACAAGAATTTATTCATCTGTGATGTTGCCAGCCGATCACGAATCTCCAGATCTTGGACGATAAACACCTGCCGGGAGACCGGGTGCTCTACGAGGCTGGAGTCGCACGCTGGCTTGCACAGGGGGTACACCTCGTGCTGAAATTTCACCTTCATAGACAACAAGGAACAAAATCTTTAAATTAGATTTTCTCTTTAAACTGCAAATATCACTCACCGCTTTCTTTGAATTCTACCTCAGCTTTCAATTCCACTTTTAAAGAACAAAAACCATAACCTTCCTTGAATTGCTCATTGATTCATTATTGGTCTATGTGCAGCCTACCTTACAAGGATATGCCTGACTGACATTTCTTATTGGGCCTTGATAAAGTCCCTTAACCTCTTTAAGCAAAACTCTCAGTTGAAATTAGACATAACATGATCACCTTGCACACCTATGAAGTTGCATAAAAATGAATGAACGTAGGCACAGTTCAAGTTACAAAAGGGGGCAAATACACATTTAAATTTATGGAATTGTAATCACTACCATATTCCAACACTAAAAGTTGGTACAATCTTGGAGAAGCTAACAGAATTAAATGCAGATACTGTGAATGGTGTCTCGTCCCTACGGCCTCTAGACCTTCACAAAGGAGCTGACATGCACGCTAACCCCAACGCAGGCCCTCGAGACAGACACTCTGGGCAGTGGTTCCCCAGGTGCGTCCCAGGAACAGCAGCACCAGCGTTACCCGGGAAGGCACTGGAAGTGCAGACTCTTGGTCCCTACTGACCAGACATTCTGGGGTGGGGCTCAGCAACCTGTGCTTAACAAGCCCTCCAGGTGATCCTGACGCACGGTCACTCCGAGGGATACTACTCTAGGGGTGACCTAAAAAACATTAAAAAACCAAAACCAAAGAAACCCTCACTCCTCTCAGAATCTTCAAGATAAAGGGGTAAGAGTTTTATACAAAACGCTTGCACTTTTCCAATCCAGAGGCTGGAGACTCTAAGGGGAGGTACCGGAGAGCCAGCGCAAACATTCCTACTTCCGTGGATTTACCTTCCAAATGTCACATACCTTGCTTAATTGTATTTCCATTAAAAAGTCATGGTTCCTTCCTCTCCCCGCACACACCGTGTTACGTCCACATCTCGTAGGTGTGTGAGAAGGTGAACTGTGGGGACTACTGCAAATGAAAACAGAACAAAACAAAACAAAAATCCCTTTTGTTAAAGGAATATTCCAAGAAAGTCAGTGAATGATATCGGGAAAAAGAACTAAGAAGGAAAGAGAAAATAAGATCATAGAACAATCAGAATGTTACCACAAATGTTACATACATAAATCAAAATTCTGTCTTCAAAACCTATACTTTAGAGATATTGAGATCATTTTATTACTGCCACTAGAATAATCACCTGCCTGCTAAGTATTCAGGACTACAGAAAAACCTAATTATGATGTGTCCTTGGGGTTCCTATTACAGGACAGACTTAAAAATGAGAGCTGGATCAAGAGTGTCCCCTGGAAATTCACACCCACCCAGGAGCCCTGAACGCGACCTTATCTGAAACCAGGGTCTCTGCTGATGTAATGAGTTACGACGAGGTCACCCTGCGTTGTTGTTGTTAATTACCACCAAGTCTGCTCTGACTCACAGTGACCCGTGTATAACACAACGAAAGGCTGCCCAGTCCTGTACCATCTTCATGACCGTCGCTATGTTCAAGGCCATGGCTGCAACTATCGTGTAGTGCCTTCCAACCTAGGGGGCCCATCTTCCAGCGCCACAGTGGGCAATATTCTATCGTGATCCATAAGGTTTTCATGGGCTAATTTTCGGAAGGAGATCACCAGGCCTCTCCTTCTAGTCTGGCTTAGTCTGGAAGCTCTGCTGAAACCTGTGCACCAAGGGTGACCCTGCTGGTATTTCAAAGACTGGTGGCAGAGCTTCCAGCATCCCAGCAACATGCAAGCCACCACAGTACGACACACTGACCGACGGGTGGTGGCCTACCGGGCTAAAACTGCTGCCGTCGAGTCGATTTCAACTCATAGCGACCCTACAGAACTACCCTATAGGGTTTCCAAGGCCGTAACCTTTATGGAAGCAGACTGCTACATCTTTCTCCCATGGAATGGCTGGTGGATTCGAATCACAGACCTTTCAGTTATCAGCTGAGCACTTAACCACTGTGCCACCAGGGCTCCTTCCATACTGGATTGTTGTTGGGTGCTGTTGAGTCGATTCCAACTCACAGTGACAGAGTAGAACTATAGGACAGAGTAGAACCACCCTACAGGTTTTCTAGGTTGTAATCGTTACATAAGCAGAGCACCAGGTCTTTCTCTCGTGGAGCCACTGAGTGGGTTTGAACTGCTGACCTTTAGGTTAGCAGCTGAGTGCTTAACTGTTGTGCTACCAGGGCTCCTTCATACTGGACTACTCATTACAATTGAGTCGATCCCAACTCATATCGACCCTTTAGGGCTGCCCCCCGGGGTTTCCCCCGCAGAGTAGCTGGCAGGTCTTTAGTGAGCGCTCGCATGTTCAACCACCACACCACCGGGCTCCTTTCAGACTGGATTCCAAACCAAACCAAACCCACTGGCGGCAAGTCGATTCGGACTCATGTGACCCTGCAGGACAGAGTAAAACTGCCCCACAGGGTTTCTAAGGCTATAATCTTTACGGAAGCAGACTGCCACATCTGTCTCTTGTGGAGCAGCTGATGGGTTGGACCTGCTGACCCTTTGGTTGGCAGTCGAACACTTTAACCACTGCGCCACTACGGCTCCTTCACACTGGATTAGGGGTCCTTAATCCAATGACTGGGGTCCTTATAAGAAGGCCGTGTGAAGGCAGAGGCAAAGATCAGGGTTATGCAGCTGCAAGCCAAGGAGTGGCAAGGATTGTTGGAAGAGGCAAGGAGGGATCATTCTAGAGCCGTCAGAGAAGTACAGCCCTGTGACACCCTGATACTGGACTTCTAGCCTCCTGAACTCTGAGAGCGTAAATTAAATATCTGTTGTTTTAGGTCAACCAGTTTGTGGTAACTTGTTACCTCAGAAAGACTTTTTAGTCAGAGTTCAAGCCCAAGAAATCTCAGCTAATATAGAAAATAATTAAAGTCTAGGGTTTTTTTCAAATCATTCTTAAAAAGCAAAAAGTTGCTAAACTATTGTGCCAGATATTACCACCCCACGAGGCCTTGTCTGACCCTGTCCCATCCAATAAGAATTTTTGCCCCCACTATACCCATTCTCTCTACCTAGCTCTCTCCCAGCACTACTGAATAATCCACCAAGGAACCAGGGTTAAGGAGCACGAGCTCATGCTGGGTTCAGGGGCACAGGCCCCTCTCTGGGCGCACACTTCACTTCATCGCCCTCATCCGCTCACATGACAGTCTCCCCCCTTTGAGCTGAGGGCAAAGGTCTCGTCCGCTTTATGAAGAGGCCCCTCACACAGGCTCTGGCACATGGTAGGTACCAGAAAATTTCTGCTGAATGGAAATCACGTAAGTCACCATTGTAGTAAAGTACAAACAATGCAAATAAATGCAAAAATGGAAAGCTTTAAGCATAACGTTTAAATTACAAATTTCAATACTATTTTATTAATAATTCTTAAAACAATAAACCCTGTGAATTTTTTTCTATAAAAAGAATATACTGGCCTGCCAAGTAGACTTACGTAGAAATTAACTTACATGTAACTCTTAGCTGGTGATGAGGGAGGGACTGTCCCCAAATCCTTTCCTCCATAAAGATGCCAAACAAGAGAGACTTCCTTGACGACATAGCGGATCACAGGAACGGGGAAGCGGAGTGGGGCCTTGCTTGCGTCTGTCTTCTTCACCGGGAGACTGAAATAATCATCTCTTATCACAATGGCATCGTCAACCATGATCTTTACAACTGGCTCTTCTTCTTTCTCCTGAAATAAACAGACAACAGGTACTCTCTGACAGATCAGAAACCACAGGTTATGCCTCAAGAAGATTTCCTGATTCTACTCTTTTAATAATTTCAATATATAAAATAGGATGATAAATACTGACATTGATTATCACATAAGATACTCTGCTTTATTAACCATAAACTGAATCTATTGCTCTTCTGCATAACTCACTCCACAAGGATTGTTTATAGTCTACAATTTGGCGTCTACTACTTGTTGGGTAATAAACAGGCACAGATTCAGTGTGTGTGTGTTTGTACGTATATATATTTTGTGGTTTAATTTGAAGTCAACACTGCATCCCAAACCAAACTTTGACATATTGTAACATACTGACCAAATTACCATGTGCCTAATAATAGGTTCATCCTGAGTTCGATTGCTTTGATTTTTTTAAATTTATCAAGCTGGTTGCCAGAACTTAGTAAATACACACGGTCACCTACTAATTTACTACTGAGAAGTTTCAAAAAAAATGAGAAAGAAAGAAATTATCAGTCAATCACCAGCCTTCACACAAACTGCACCTTAGATCTTATCTTTCCCAATTCCTGGACAAACAGCTCCGTGAAGCACTTCTTTCTGCACTGACTCTCAAAACTCTTTAAGGTAGCTACCACACACGACATCTGTAGCTCAATAATCTTTGCAGGAAGTTTGGCAAATATAAAGCACTCTTCTCTGCGTCTCTGAGAGCGGAGGCTTAGGAAGGTACAGCAAACATTTACAGAGCAGCAGTTGCAAGTTACAAGATGCAGTATTTCTGAACTGTGAAGAGTCGACAAAATCTTAAGAATCTTCACGTCAGTTCCATCTGCAACACTATGTCAGGGCCTCAATAATGTTATCAACTCATTACCTGAACCGTTGCTTTTGGCGCAAAAAGAATGCAAAAGTCGTCATTCTCGGAGGGCACGGCTGCCAGCGCGTCGCTGATCAAGTGGTGAGTGAAGGAGGCGGAGGCAGGGCCGGGCTCCGGAGACACGTTCCCACTCTCATCTGGAAACAGGAAGAGGTCCGAACAACACGGCTCCTGAAGTGGAGATTTTTCATCTAGGACACCTGGGTGAAAAGATGACAACATTTAACCTGGGCAACTTGGAAACGTCAACGGCAACACCTGGCGCTTAGGAAGCATTTTAACCAAGTGTCAGATACACACTGCGCCTTCCCGCAAAATCTCCTGTATTTCTTACAACACCCCTACGGTGAAACTAAGCTTAAAGAGAGGTTAAGTGACATGCCCAAACACCTCAGCAAAAACTCCTCATGAAAAGGCTAATGACAGACTTGGAGTTCTCCAAGAATACAGTGAACGCTGGTTTCAGGACGTTAGGGACAGTCCCCCGTCTGTTATATGGAGTTAGAGAAGCTCAGAATTTAGTGGTAGAATCTGGTGACTATTGACGAGTTTGCTTTAGCTGAGATCCCACAGGGACAATTCTGGGCTGTAATGGGGTGGAGCCTGGAAGAAACTTCTTGGCCAGTGTCACAGGGGAGGAGAACCTGGTTATACATGGCAGAGCCTCGCCTAAAGCTACGTGAAATCACTGTGTCGGGGTGCGGGGCAGGAGACAAGGGCAGTGACTCCGAGCAATCAAAATATCACTTCTTGGGGCACTGGGTACCGAAACAGGACACCTGTTCAGGTGTCGATCTTAATATGAAGTTCACAAAAGACTGCATGTGAGCTAAAAGTCTGTATGTGAAGAAACATTTCACACATTTATGTTACATATAGATTCACCCATCCTTTCTCCACTTATCCATTCAAACCAAACACTGTGATGTGGGCTGAGAACACTAAGATGAATAAAACGAGCATTCTGGCCTCACGAGATGCACAGCTAGGTTTTAAAATTCTCCTGTGGTAGTGTCTAGGTCCTACTCTTCCTCATAAATGCCCGACGCCTCGGACACCATCTTGTCTACTGAAGCTGCTCAGTTCAGAGTCGTTGTATGTTCTTTCCCACGAAATTAAAGTAGCTAACATTTATTGCAGACAATGGACTCCATGTGATGCTACAGCTCCCATTTGCTTCCTTAGTTCTAATGTATTTCAAATTAAACCGAAAGCAACATTTAATTACAAGTTTTCATATTGCCATGAAATAATAATAAGATTTTAGCATACAAAAATAACCATATTCCTCCAATTAGAAAAAAATGCTTTTTAAACAGATGCTTCCAAACATTTAGATGCTTCCACTTGGCTTTCTAGGACCTCAAAACCTTCCGGCCACTGCGTTTACCCGACTTCGCTATCCGATTTCTTTTCAATCAGAAGAGAACCTGTTTCAGTAACAGCACAGATTAACCGCTGGATAATGGAGGTCCAAGCCCGGCTTGTCTGTGCCTTAGTCACTGTTGATGCCTCACCTACATGACCTTCTTTCTCCGCACTACACAACAAAATCCCCCTGCTTTTTAAAAGCCAACTCCTCTCACGCTCAGTAACAAGTTTCATCTAACTGCTCCAACCCTTTCCAAACAATAGCATTTAGAGTCTATCCCACATTCTAAAGTGTTTTCTTAGGTCATTTATCAACCACTCTAAGTACCAGCATCAGCCTGGTGTACTACCATTTGCTGTGCTGGACCACCAGCCTCATAAGCCTTGTCCTTCACCTCCTCTGTAATCGTCCACCACTCCTTGGACAGTGTTGTCTGCTAGACACTCAAGCACAAACTGACCACCTAGTGAATATCCAGCAAAACTCAGGCATTACAAAGTGTCTTTTCTTAAATGAGTTATTCACAGCAGAATCTGCAGGCACACAGTCATGAAGCCTCAACTACAGCACCAGTGGCCCTCGAGAGAGTCCCGGCTGTCCTACCGTTAGCCTGGGGCTTCACGGACGAGGCCGCCTGCTGCGTGTCAATCTCCTCCATAGCGTCACTCATCAGAGCTCGTAGAATCTGTTGATCTGCTTCAGGAAGAACTGCACCGCGTGAGGATGTCCGACGGCTGGAATCCACCTACAAGCAGAAAGCTTAATTGAAACAGCGAAGACACCCTCAGAGCCAATCTCCTCACATTTGCTGTGCCTTAGAAATCAGCTACATTTTAGAAAAATGTCAGAACAGGAGCAGACTGAGTTTTCTATATTCTGCCCAGCAGCTGTTACATTTTCATTTTAAGTTTTTTAATAGCATTGTCACCCCCAATAATTTAATTACTGGCAAGTAGAAGTGTGTATGTCATCACCTCAGAGCCAGCAAGGTGAACTGGGACCTTGGAGAGGCAATGCATTCGAAGAATGGGAAGCTTTTAAGATGGAAAGCCCACTCGGAAAAGGATAATTTTACACCTTTCATAAAATGGAGAATTTCTTAAAAAGACAACAAACAGTAGAGAGGAGGGTCCCATCACCCCATCATCAGTCAGAACACAGCAGGAGCAAGGAATCACAAACCAGCAACAATCCTCAACCACAGCTAACACACTGCCTGGCAGATCCGCACACCAGCTCTCCTGTAATGCCGTCCACAGAGGAGCCCTAGAGAAGACGACAAACTGAAAGACGAAAACCCTAAACCGACCAGAGAGTTGAGTCTGGACATGAGAGTGCGGAGAGGTAACACTTTAGGCACAGAAAGCACTGAACTGGGAACCCAAATACCTGGGTTTTCTTGCTGTTTCTGCTATGAGTTAGCTCGTTGTTGTTGTTAGGTGCTATCGAGCAGGTTCTGACTCATAGCGACCCTACGTACAACAGAATGAAACACCGCCCGGTCCTGCACCATCCTCACAATTGTTGTTATGCTCGAGCCCACTGCTGCAGCCAGTACGTCAATCCATCTTGTTGAGGGTCTTCCTCTTTTTCACTAACCCTCTGCTTTACCAAGCACGATGCTCTTCTTCAGGGATTAGTCCCTCCTGATAACATGTCCAAAGTATAGTCTCACCATCCTTGCTTCTAAGGAGCATTCTGGCTGCACGTCTTTCAAGACAGATTTGTTCATTCTGTTGGCAGCCCATGGTATATTCAATATTCTTCGCCAACACTACAGTTTAAAGGTGTCAATTCTTCTTCAGTCTTCCTTATTCATTGTCCTGCTTTCACATGCATATGAGGAGACTGAAAAATTCCATGGCTTGGGTCAGGTGTATTTCAGTCCTCAAAGTGACCTCTTCGCTTTCCAACACTTTAAAGAGGTCTTTTGCAGTACGTTTTCCCAGTGCAATCTATCATTTGATCTCTCGACTGCTGCTTCCATGGGGGTTGACTGTGGATCCCAGTAAAATGAAATTCTTGGCAACTTCAGTCTTTTCTCCATTTATCATGATGTTGCTTATTGGGTCAGCTGTGAGGATTTTTGTTTTCTTTATGTTGAGGTGTAAGCCATACTGAAGGCTGTGGTCTTGGATCTTCATCAGTAAGTGCTTCAAGCCCTCTTCACTTTCAGCAAGCAAGGTAGTGTCATCTGCACAATGCAGGTTGTTAATGAGTCTTCCTCCAGTCCTGACACCCCGTTCTTCTTTATATAATCCAGCTTCTTGGATTATTTACTCAGCATATGGAATGAATAAGTATGGTGAAAGGATACAACCCTGACGCACACCTTTCCTGATTTTAAACCAGGCAGTATCTCCAAGTTAGCTAACCTTGCGCAAATCACCTGAATTCTCTGGGTCTTAACTTATTGTCTATAAAACAGATACTAATCTTTAATCTCTATCACACTGCATTCTCACAGAAGTCAATGGAGATCAAATATGAGAAAGTATACTGAAAACTGAATAATATCATAGATAATAAATGTAGAAGGTACTACTATATAAATAAGTCTTCTGGTAATAATCCATACATCTTCTCATAGCATTTTTTTATACAACTTCCATATAACAAGCTCTTATATGATAAATGTTTTCTGTCTTCCTTGAGGAAAGATGAAAATAACTTAAATCTGGAAAGATGTGTTCTGTTAGTTGAGAAGATTAGTGTTCTGTAACAAAGACTATCAGACAGGAGAACAGTTTTCTCTTCCAGACCTGTCTCTCTGAAGATGAAGAGCAGACAGGTGACTTTTCAAAGTTTCCTTCCTCCCCTGTGATTGTCAGGAAGACCCCAATGGCGTGAACGTGGCGTGAACGTGGCGTGAACGTGGCGTGAACGTGGCGTGAACGTGGCGTGAACGTGGCGTGAACGTGGCGTG